GGGACAGTCGACGATACCATCAGGTGAGTCCTGGTACACTGCGAGTGTGCGCACTCGTTTTTATACTTATATGCGTTCATGAAAAAATGAATGAATAAATAAACGTATACATCTTTTGTATATGTACATATACATCTCTCAGTATCATGACAATTTTAATTGTACTTTTTCTTTTCTTTTTTGTCCAGACGTAAAAATGTTGAGGATCGTAAGCCTGGCAGTGACTTTGGCCGTGTGCGTGGCACGACCCAACCAATGGGACGACCAGCTTGGGCTCTTCCCTGCCGACGGCGGAGACTCTCAGCCCATCTTGCCTCGCGCCGTCGCCAACCCTACCACGCCCAACCAGATACTCGACGCAGTGCTCGAGGGAGCTATCGCATACATGGAGTAATATTTTATTAGCAGTGATCTTTTGGTGTTATATTTGTTTCAATGTTATCATTCCTTATTATCATATTGTATACTGATTTCATGAGTCTTCTTCCTAACTGCTGTCCTTTAACAGAGCACTAGGATGGTGGATCCAAAACGTGCAGAACGGAGAGTCAAATCTGCCCTTCCAAGTCAACTCTGACGGAAGCAGCTCCGAGAACTTCAGCATCACTAAGGCCAACGTGACTGGACTCTGCTCCCTGCGCCGCTCCAAGTCCGCTTCCTTCAACGCCGACCAGGTATGATGTCAAATGAAAAGAAAGATGTATGATATGAGTTAAAGGCATTAACTAAACTCATTAACTTCAGAGTTTTGAAAGGAAATCCATGATAAGAATGATATTCTATTTTTTAAAGTTAAGTATATGTATGATTATGAGTGATCTATTATGTATTTTTACAGAGTGTGCTCTCCGGTTCGGTTGTCGTGGAAAACGCTCGTGCCAACGCCGACTACACGGTAACCTTTGCCGGTGTTGGAGAAGCTCCAGCCCAGACTGTTTCTGGTCAGGTTGTAGAGCGTGTGGACAAGCTGTTCGCAGATATCCAGATCAACTTGGACAACCTTGTGCCTCAGAACATCGCCAGCTACACCGCAAGATCGGGTCACGACCTGCTTGAAAGTGCAAGCAACTTGGACGGCAACAATATGAAGGACGTTCACAGCGCCGGCTTCAGGAAGGCTTTGCGAGAGATCCTGGAGAAAACCATGGCTTCCAACGTGAAGGTGCAGATTAACAAGTCCATCCAGGATATGAAGAATGCTTGAAACTCAAGAATGATACTGAAGAAACTTGTGAGTGTATGGAGAGACAAATAAAGTATTGCAATCATGAAATTTGTCTACCACATTTATGAATCTAGATACGAAAAATGCGTGGTTTTACAAATTGAGGCTTTATAGACCAGTAAATATGTGAAGAGGTAAACGTGCAATCATTAACCTCGCTTAGTTCTCCTTTTCCCCCAAAGGGAAAATTTTATGATTTGGCATCTTTAATCTACTATATATATTATATATATATATATATATATATATATATATATATATATATATTTGTGAGTATATTCATACATAAATAAGTACATATAAACAATCTCACATAGACACGTGTATATACACGCATATATATACATACATATATGTATGTATGTATATGTATATATATGTACATGTACAGATGACTAGAAGGAGTGGATACAAAGAGGACACATTTGGTATGGACTAAGTATGTCTGAGTCTGAAACATCAACACACAATAACAATTATGTTTTTGGTTTGTTACACACTTTAGTGATTTAAATCCCATCGGAATATTATTCTACTCAGAAGAAAAATCGTTATGTAAACTTAAACATCTTGCTTCAGTATAATCAGTTATAGCAATACATTTCTCACACAAGCCAGCACATCATACCACTGTCCGCACTTAGGCGACATACCGACATACCTTTGGGGTCCCATAAAACCAAGAGGGGGCGACGGTCAGCCTGAACATTATCGTAAGAACGTGTAGCTAGGCTTTATGCTGCGTCCGGAACTCCTCGTCTTGCTCATCCAGGCAACTTGTCCAAGAGCAGCAGGACAACGATGCCGCGTTTGGAACCTCCAAGACACTCGCTGCCCAGAATGCAACCAGCTCGAATGTAAACATTCACTCATTTATCATACCGGTATCTTTATTTTACACGCTGCATAGGTTTTGTAACTTCTTTGAAGGCCATAAAATTATCAATCAATACCTTGTGGTTGCCTGCAACTTCCAATGTTTACATAGAAAAGCTATTGCCATCTCCAGCTCGCCCACTTTCACAGGAGGGCGAGATGGACGAGATGGACAACTTGTCCAGGACGGGAAAGTAGAGGTTCCGAACGGTGAAGACATCTTGTCCAACTGGTCTGGACGAGCAGGCAAGGAGTTTCGAACGCAGCATTGCAATCAGACACACGGCGCCCAAGATCATGGCATCTGTGCAGCTTGCTAATAAGTAACAATGTCCCGTGCCCAGTGGCAAGATGGCCCACTGGCATAACGAGAGGAAGTAACAATCTGAAAACCCTGCCACACTACTATCCGCCAGTCTTGTGATCATAGGCAGACAAACATATAAGTGGCACAAGTAAACATAAATGCAAAAATAGTATTGTGCAAAATGGTCGAGAAAGATAACTATGAAGTACATGAGGTCACGAGGTTAGAGAAAAAATCACTCAGGTCCCAACCCAGCATAGCAAGTACCCTTAGTGATAAATAGGTGAACACGAGTGCTCATGTGTACGTAAATTACGATCCTTTGCATTCATGTTTTCAGGTTTCACTTTCGAATAAAGGCGCACCCCCAGTACATGTGAAAATTAATTTTAGCACTCCTCATTTTTATCGGCAGGAGGGGCAGCCTCCTCCCCGCCCTCCTGCCAGCACGCCACTGCCTCTTTCTCCATAGCAATGCTCCCTCCCATGTATTTCCGACGAAGATGTATTCAAAACCAGTCAAATACAACTCCTGTATCGTGAAGATATTTATTCTCATTCATACCTTTCTACATTTGTCAACATGAATACGGTTCAGCTCCCTCCCGTGTTTCCTGCTGGTTTGTGAGTTTCGATGGAAAACCTTTTGGCATCTACCCAACGGACTTGATTTGGCTCTCTCTCATTTCTTTGTCTTTCCAAGTCTGAAAAAAATGATAACACAAAATCCATTTCTTTTAATTGATGATTTAAGTCCCTCATTGTTTAGAAACAATTACTTAGAAATGCGTATTGATCTTGATGGAACCTGTGTTGAAAAATAAATTCATGTATTCCTCAGGTAGTCTTTAAGGCTCCATTTCAACGAATTTTTGAAGCCCTTTTGTATATATGTATGTGTATATTCATATATACATACATACACACACATGTATGTATATGTATATTCATTTATGTATTTACGTATGTAGATATACACATATGTATGTACGGACGTATGTATGTATATCCATAAATACATTTATATACCAGACTGCTGAGTTTGCTTTGCGCTCGGAATTTCTTCCGAGCGCACTTTTCATTCAAGGAGCGCACAATTCACATTAAGTGCACTCTTTCTATACGCTTCCTGAGAAAGTTAATAAAAAGAGAGAAAATTAGGCCTAATATATATACCTAAAGTTTTCATGAACGTTCATAATGTTCGCGATCACAAAGGTAAAAGGAATTCTTTCTGATGCTAAGAAAGGAAGACGATATCTGAAGGCGCTTATATATATGTACATATATGTACATGTATATATGTACGTATATATATATATATATATATATATATATATATATATATATATATATATATATATATATATATATATATATATATATATGATATAAGTATAGATACATCACACACACATACATATATTATATATATATATATATATATATATATATATATATATATATATATATATATATATATATATATAAATGCGTGTAAGTCTATATATGCGAGTGACTAGTTTTCTAGATCATTTTTTAATATTCATGGAAAATAAGAAATCCTAAAAAACAGGTTGAAATGCAATAAATTTTAATCACAAGTAAGTGTACATCATCGAGACAGGTAATAGAGACCTATTTGCCCGTAGTGGAAGCGAACAATATTGCTTAACACAATTTTTAGCCGAAGAAGAGCCACCCGAAGGTGATGGTGGAGCCAGTGGGGAGAGTGAGCGTGGTGGTGAAGCACCTGGGAATGAAACACAGCAGGATGCAGCGGGTGAAGGTGACGCTCACTTGACGACGGTCTTGAACACTGTCATTCTGTTCTTCAGTGACCAGTTTGTAAACGGGAAGGTCGCCACAGAAGTTGGCAAGATCCGAGCCGATCTCCTCCTCAGGATTGTCGAGGGAAACAGCGGAAACTCTGACGTCAGACTCAACCCTCATGCCATCATCCTGATGGCCTTTGATGAAGGCTACTTGTTGCTCGAAAGATTTAACCAGTCGCCTCACGTAACACGCCTCCTGGGACACCACTCGTGATGCTGCTAGACCCTGCGAAGTGCATAAATTTTGATATATTTATGGTCATTTCCCCCATAAATACTGAATTCATACAATTGAACAAATTGAAGAATTTCTCTTGCATTATCAGTTCAACAAAATAATAACGTAAAGTTCATCATGGTATCCAGTGATGACCTGACAAGTATTACTTACCACACTATAATCCTCCAGTGTTTCCACGTCATCGAAGTCGTCGGATTCAGGCATGTGGAAGTGAATTTTCATGGCAAGGCGGTCTACATCCACTTTCATGCAGCTGTTATCAGTGGCGCTGTTTCCCTTGTAACATACTTGGTAATCCTGCCAAGAAAAACGGCCATCTTTTGTAATATTAAGTACGCTTCACATGAGAGATAAACTGAACTGTTGTATATGTGACAGAAAAGGTAATAATTTCTAGCTCAAACATACACATCAAGAGCGTGTTCATACCTGAACCTCAGCCAGGGAGAAGCCTAAGAGGCAGGAGAGCATCAGCCAAGTGAACATGGTGTGATCTAGAAGGAAATGTGACTAATAAAGTGGTATGAAATTGACAGATCTTGAAATACATCCATTTCCCGAACACTGAGCCTATATAGAAATCATAGTGAGAAACGGCCCGTGTTAGAGTTTCCAGGCTGATATGAAGAGATAAAATAACGAAGGGGATTATTATAGGTACGGGATAAAAAAAAAAATCATTATAAGCACGCATTTATACTACATAAAATGTGTTGCAAGAATTATACATAGCACATTGGACGGATATGAAACAGGTAAGAGGTATGAGAATCGTTACTCACCGAGGATAGCTACCACTGGTGATGTGAAATCGTCCGCGAAGTTTATATATCTCAGATCCGCCGAACTCCTGTTCCTACTAAAGCACCACCTGTGAAAACATTTTTACGCTGTTTTTCCATTCAAAATTTGTCAATCGGCAAAAAATCTTCAATTTCAGCTGATGATAGATATTTTATGACTAAAAGAGATTCTGCTTCAAATGAAATATCGTATTAGAACATATTTTTTATGCGTTCATTTCGAATCCGTTAATTTCA